AAGATTGGCATCCACGCACGACAGGATTTGATTAGCAGACTTGAACATTATCAAGATTTAGAGCCTGAACTCTTTAATAAGGCAATTCATTTTGTCAACGAAAATGTAATCCCCATGGTACAGCGACATGCGATTAGCGGACAAGCTCTCATACGAACGTGTGTGTTTGTTCGATTCGTAATTTTTGCCATGAGCTTTCGAGCTGCTAGGACTCAATTTTTTGTTTTTTTTTCTCTAGAAACTCACATGAGCTTGAAAACCAACACCTTGTTGACATGATCATGGACGTTCTTTCTGAACGAGGTTATCATGTAATGTTCGACGACAGAGTTCGGGAGACACCCGTAAAAGTCAATCCTGAAACATGGGATATCATTCTTGAGAAGTAAGTTCGGCGAGTCTCATCACTCAAAGTGGAAATCCTGATACTGATTATTTATTCATTTGCAGGCGACACAATTACATGTTTAGCGTTCGATTCCCCAAACATATCATCCAACCACTCGATCAGAAGATCTAATCAATAATCAGACATTTACTCTCTTTTATTTGTGTAGCGTGGACTTTTCAAAAAGTATTTTACTTAATTTACCATAAAAAATCATTTATAGACTTTTTAGACTTTTTATTATTGAAATCATTGCAACTTTATCTAAATCATTTAATTATCTAAAACTATCATGTAACTTAATGTCGCACTGCAAATTCTGATCACAAGTTTGACACAGGCGAAATGGTTCACGTGTTAATATTTTTTGGTGATGTATCAACGAGCACGCGAGAAAAAACATTTCTTTGAATTTATACATTCTTCATTTGGGGTCAAAGGCAGATTAAAGATTACTCTTGGAAACAATATTTTTCTGTTTAAGGTAAATCCAATTATTTGATTGCAAGTTGATTTTCTTCAGAAAAAAAAAAAAAAAAAAAAAAACCATATAACAAAATATTTATAAAATCGACATGATAAATTATGTAAAATACTAATAACAAATTAAACTGGAAACTCGTTGTTTCTTGGGATCCGGATTAATCTCATTTCATTGTTACCAGTCTATTGTATAAATCAAATTTTAGGAAAAATAGATGTTGTCTTTAATGCATAAAATCAGCAACTAGAAACTTGAATTGTGTTCTGTTTTATTCTGATTAATTGAAAATTCAGCGTTCTCCAGTGTCACTTCGTGATCATTCTTGTATTCCTCCTCACCATATCTCTGGAGAAATTGTTCTGCAAACTGTAAAAAAGTATCTTGTTCCATGGATTCTCGGATCTTTTTGAAAAACTGCGAATAGTGATATAAATTATGACTATAAAATATAGCGCAAAACCTTCGCTTAGAGTACGTTCGTTAAGTGAATGAGCAGGAGAAAAAGTGCTTGAAATTTATTCATCCAATCTTACCTCATCAACAACACATTCGCAAGCATCTCTCGCGCATTTAACAAATGGTGAACGTATGCTCTTGTGTGGTTCCGGCAGGCGTAACATTTACATGTTTGTATGAATGGTTGATAATCAGTTCGATACTGTCCTTCCAAAAGATTGATGTGCTGAGAACATCCAGTATCGGTATCCCACTTGTCGTTATTCAGTGAAAATACAAATGCCTTTCCCGCTGAAGTCATCTTCGATGGATAACTGGCGTCAAATACATCAATTCCCTCAAGAATACCTCTAAGGATATCCGCTAAAAGAACAAAAATTGTTAAACTCCATAGAACAAATAGTTTTCCCTTATGTCCATAAGATAATTTATTATCCTTACCCGGTTTTTCGATACCGTAGGCGATCCGAATCTTATCCTTGGGGAGATGATTTATTGAAGTTTTTAATATATCTAAGCGCTCCTTTGATGTGTTTCCCAGGTCATGTCCATTCAACACGAAACCTGTCAGCACAAGATCCACAACCATGATCAGACTATATCAATCGTAATACTAAAAGGAATAAATAACATCTTCAAAGGAACACTTACCGGCCACTTTCCTATTTGCTGTTTCTTGAGCTGATCTCACACGCTCTTCATGATTGTCGTGTCCAACCACCGCTCCAAAAACGTGAATCCCTTCCTGTCAATGCATCTTCCTTGATATTTCTTTACTCGTATCAGGCCAAACAGAAAAGTAACTTTATTTAATTAATCACCTTGATGTTGGCAAGTGCATGGTCTAACCAAGTCAAAGTTCTATTGACCGATTTCTTGATCCTCTTGGGGCTCGGAGATTCGGCTGTTATTGTGTCTGACAAACTGGCAAACATCTCTGGATTATATGAATTGACATATTTCACGTAATCATCAGGGGTGATCTGTTTGAAAGGTAATTCCGATCTCTTAATGATCTATCTCTAAATTCTCGTGAATCACGAATGTGCGGGTCTTACTTTACGAATTCCCTGACTCGTAATTACCGAGGCAAACTTATCGGTGTTAAAGGGAATCTTTTTCAGTTCTCCCGGATCGCGAACGTCAAAAAACAATAGATATTCCTCGAGGTTGAAGAATTTGTGCGCTCCATTCGGAAAAAGAGACGAAGGTGGAGGTTGTACATCGAGGCTAAGACGCGTTGGTCATTTTTGATGGATGCATTATAAAGAATTATCGAAAATGCTGATACTTACAATTGCTCAAGAGTGATCTCTAAAGCCTCAACGGGTATTTCGCGAAGACTATCGGGAGTCAGGTGTGGAACTGAACCTCGGGCAGTGCATGCCAGGCAATTCGGTGTATTCAGGATTTTTCTTTCGTGATTTCGCAATATGGTCATTCTGCCTAAACGAATGCTGTGTTCGGTGGTCTTTAATAATTCAAACGTAGCCATTCTAAAGAGGTTTTCGCGATAATCGACATGAAAAGAATTTGTGAAACTCCAGAAGAACGTGAGTTGTAAATTGTGTGAGGTCGAAAATTCATCTGCAAAAACACATGATTACCCGATATCCAATGATCGAACTTTTATCATAAATTAAGAACCTCGGTTACGAAAGATTTATTTCACACCTTGGGAAACTGTAGCATGGAAAACTCGACTAGAATTCATAAAAAAAATTCAAAAAGGAATTCCTCCTCAGGTCCAGGCACTTGGTCACCGCCGGCTCCCAACTCAAACGGTCAGGAGGCCAGTGATAACAGTAAATGCAACTGCAGGTATATTCAAGGTATGCGAGAGTTTCCTCATAGTTAAATATTCTTATTATTCCTTAGGAAAGGGAGCTCACTTTCTGTTGTTGTTCGTTAAACAGGCAAGGAAGAGCCAAGCAAAGCGTGTGATGTTGATTCCTTATGCGTCAATAGGGTACAATACATTGAATGTACACCAAAGATATGTTCTAGTGGCTCAAGTTGTCAAAATAGAAGGTGAGAAAGATCAATTAAAACTTATTTCGCGATTAATGATATCGGTCAATCGGTTCCTAATGAATTCATTTGTCCGAATGTATTGTTTTGTTTTTTTAAAAGTTTTCAATGCCAAAAGAACGCATCCTTCGATATATTCAGGTCGTCTAAAAAATACTTTGGTTTGAGGGCACTTGCGTCAATAAAAAAGTGGGTCTTATTTCACGAATCTACGGCATCAAAAGGGTTCTTCAATCAAACACCGATTTGGTTCTTTATTATTGTTACTACCACATTTGATTTTATTGCAGAGGTGAATTTGTTGCTGAATTCAAAGACATTCCGTTGGAAAAGGATAAGCTGGACTTTGACTTGGATGGTTACATTACCGAGGGACTGTGGCGCACTTACTTTCCACCATCCGAGGTAACCATAATGTACTTAGTATGTCGCCAAAAACGAGAATCGTCCTAATGATTTCTGATTGTGACCTACAACAGGTGAATGATACTTCAAAGAAAGGACGCCTTGTACGTTTTATTGGCCATTCACGCGACGCAAATTGTCACCTTGAGATTTGGTTTGTAAACAATCAAACTAGAAGGGGAATATTTGCAAACCGAGAGATCTCGTCAGGGGAAGAACTCACAATGGATTACTCTGTCCGCCCCATAGGGTAGTATGACATTGTTATTACTCCTGGTTTTTTATGACTTTTAACTGATCCTTTTGCATCACATGTTCAGTTATGGAGTAGTAGTACCTTCATCACAAGTTCAAAGTGCATCACCGCCTATTCATGTCACCGCCGGCTCCCAACTCAAACGGTCAGGAGGCCAGTGATAACAGTAAATGCAACTGCAGGTATATTCAAGGTA